TTAATAATTCTATGAATAATGATTTTAGATCACCTAGAAAGTTTTTGGCTCAACCTAGGCATATGCATAATCCAAACGTAGTATGTCATTATTGTTCTAAGATAGGACACATAGCTCCCGTGTGTTTTGCTAAACATAGGGACACTTCTTATAATTATGATTATTATTTTTATTTGCCTAACCCCCAAGGACCCAAAAGCTATTGGGTACCTCAATGGTATTACTAGATACACAAAAGGGTGTGCTTGAAGACTACAAACCTATAGTGGATGCTCCAAGCACGGAACCCAATGAACCGCATCAAGGGGGAAGCTCGTTTTACGATATTGTTGACAATTGATGCTCCAGGACATTTTCAAACATCGATGTTCAGTATCAAACATCAATGTTCAAGGAGTTCTTTTTTTTTACAATTTTTTTGAAGTGCTTTTTGCTAATGTCAAAAGGGGGAAGATATAAAGGTTATGCATAGATTGAGGGGGAACTATTTCTAAATTGCATTTATTAAGGGGGAACATTTTTTAAGTCTCAAATCAATCCTCCTATGCATAACCCCGTCTTGTTTGCCATTATCAAAAAGGGGGAAATTGTTGAAACACGGGTTTATCACGTTTTCGTACTAAAGCCGCGTTTGTTGTTATGACAGGTTTTGATAATGCCAAACCGCCGTGAACGAGACAAGTCATTGAATATACAAGGCGAGAACCAAAGATGATAAGAAAGAGAACAAGAGCCAAATGAAGACCAAGAACGAAGACCTTAGTCTTAGCATCGTTGAGTCGGTCTTTATTGTGATCAAGACCGACCCAATCTTTACACCTTGGCTCTTTAGGGTAAAATTCTTTTCAATGCATTTCACACATCATAAAAATGTTTTTCAAAGATGTATAAAACATTAAAAACACTTGGTGTTCGCCCAAACCAAAAACCAAGCCATCCGGCGTTCGGGTTTCAGAAACCGGCATTCGGCATTCGGTTTTCGGCGTTGGTTTTTGGGGTCCGAACTAACCAAATGGTTTTAAACTTTTTATGACTGGTTTTTACTTCTGGGAATATTTAAATAGTTTTTCATCAAAAACACTTCAAAAACCACCTTTCGTTTTTTGTCGTTTGATAAAAACCATGTGAAACGTTCTCGTGCCTCACTATTCACCCCCCCTCTAGTGAAGGGCACTTATTCTAACAATTGGTGCTTACTCAGCTTCACCGCTGAGCGTGTAGTGTGTTTTATTTGCTACACGCAGGTAGGCAAAATGAATGATTGGATGATTCCTGACAGCAGAAGGGGCGAGACAGTCGTGGTGGACTATTGAATGAAATAAATAATTATGTTGTTATGAGACATATTTTAAAGTCGCTTCCGCTTTTTTGTTTAAACACTCCGTATTTCTCTACAATTATGTATGGAATATTATTTAAAAATAAAAATGTTTGAAATGTTTTAAATTATCACAATTACCAAATCAATACTTTAGTCGGAAAGGGGCTGCAGACCTGGACGGATTAGGGTGTTACAATTTGGTATCGGAGCAAATGGTTTTAAACCCGATCTTCGGATCAAAACTTGGATAAAAAAAATATTTTACATAATATATATGTATTTCGGCCAAAAACAAATGTTGTCAATCAAATCCACGACTCTCGCATCCCTCTGTTCGAGGAAGGTAATAAAAAAAATGAATATTGAAATTGACTGTATCAAATTTTATAGATGTCAACTGTTAATTCGGAAACGATATCAAGTGTTGATTCAAGTCGCACTTTCGTACTTGGTAAAAGACGAAAGAACAAACGAAATGTCTATGACTCGTTGATATGTTACCAACGTGCACATCGATTCGCAAGAATAATGAAACGAAGGATTTATCTGCGCCGCAAGGCTGCATGGGAACAAGATGACCCAGAAGAGACGTTCAAGGTAGACTCTGCCAGTAGTGTATGTGGGTCGGGCAAGGAAGACCCGTCTGTAGATTCGGCACGATCCAACCAATCGAACGCAAACTCTTAGAAAATTTTCTTATTGTTGGTTGCAAATCCATTGATTCTATCAACTATTGTAATCCTTTGCAATTCCTGTCTTAAACTCAACTACTGAATAAAAGAATCCTAATAAAGGAATTTCTGTTATTGTAGAATGAGTCAAGAATCTGCCCACGGACAAGGCAACAATAATGAACACGTCAGTGTTCATACTGAAGCATCTAGCTTTACCCCTCCCGTCCAAAATGAACCCGTCAATCAACAAAATGTTGGGAATAACCCGAACGCTGATGGTCAACCCAAGCTTGTGATTCCCACATTCCTGGCAAATGTATTACAACAGATAGCCAACGCACCAATGTTTCAACCACCTCCACCACCGCCACCGCGAGTGATAACCTACAAAACATTAAGGGATAACGGTGTAGAATTATTCCTTGGGGATCGCATCGGTGAACCCCGAATTGCATGGGACTGGATCGAGCAGACTGCTCGAGTGTTGGAGGATCTTAACGTACCCATTGGCAACTATCCTCGACTGGCGTCTCAGCTGCTTCGCAAGGAAGCCTACGAGTGGTGAGAGAGGACCGATGAGAGTGCAGGAACCCCTAAGCCATGGACATGGGCACATTTCGAATGGGCATTCAAGCAAGAATATATTCCAAAACGTTTTAGCGAAGAAAGACGTAAAGAATTTGTCGAAATGCAACAGGGAGACATGACACTCCCCGAGTATCGTCAGAAGTTTACCAGTCTTGCTAAGTTTGCACCAACCTTGGTGAGTACCCCAACCGATCGCATCGAGGAGTTCAGGAAGAAACTTCGACCTGACCTCAGGTCGCGTGTGTCCGTCCTAACCACCGTGGATTTCGCGGAGGCCTATGATCTCATAGCCAGGGCAGACAGCGACTTGAGTGCTTGCATTGAGTATCTGAAGACAAATAATGTCAGTTCAAGCACTCACCGTCCCATCAGCTCTATCTCAAAAGGAAAAAGGCCCTTCCAGGAATCTAGCAATTCACACTTCTCAAAGAAGGGGAAATCGGTGCAGACGCACTCTGTGGCGT